GCTATTATAAAACAAGAACAAGGGAAATATATCATAAAATATTGAAGAATCCATTCAATATAATTTGTTTTATTGTAATACACTCATAATTACATATGCATGATATATAAATGACGCAAAAACAAAAATTTTGTTGTCACAAAAAAATAACATTTTTTTTTCCTTCTAAAAAATAACATTAGGCGAAACTTTACATCACAATTCCACAATTCTACAATTCTTCAAAGGTAAATGATAACGTAAACAAAATATTCCTCTACATTCCTCACAGTTACACAGTTTTACATACACCAGTTAGGGCCACACAAGGACAAAGTAGACAAGTCTATGGACTTTTGTGTTGATTTTATAAGGTAAGATTACGTACGTTTCTTTGCCCGATGCTAGTTGTTCAAACACGTACTCCATGGCAAATCACTATAAATGATCAAACCTCTCTAGATTCATTTTCACATGCAAAAGAGACAAATCAACAAGAGAGAGATCATAAAAATGGGTTTGAGTGTTCATCCTCTTCTACACAATTTCACTCTTTTGTCATTTCTTCTTCTTCTTATGTTTTCAGTTGTTGGGTCAGCTACTTTTTCTTTAAATACAGACAGAGAAGCTTTGATCTCGTTTAGGTCCCAAATTAGCCCAAACCCACAAACACTTTCTTTCTCTTGGGATCAAAACATATCTCCTTGTAATTGGACTGGCGTGACTTGCAACACACGTAACAGAAGAGTGGCTTCCATCGACCTCTCTGGTCATGGTCTCACCGGTTCCATAAGCCCAAGTGTTGGCAATCTCTCTTTTCTCACATCTCTTCAACTTCAAAATAATCAACTTGGAGGTCCAATTCCAAAAGAGATCACAAATCTTTTACGTCTAAAGGTTCTTAATTTAAGCTCTAACAACTTAGAAGGATCCTTACCTTCAAACCTAAGCAAGTTATTCGAACTCCGAATCCTTGATGTAACCTCAAACACGATCACGGGTCTTGTTCCAAACCAACTTGGTGATCTCAAGAACCTCAATATCTTAAACTTGGGGAAAAATCTATTCTATGGACCAATTCCACCATCTATTTCAAAACCTTTCATCACTCACCGTTTTAAGCCTTGGCACAAACTCTCTTAGTGGTCCAGTTCCTTACGAATTGGGTCGTCTTCAAAGGCTACAAGTCCTTGATCTCACCATAAACAACCTCACCGGAACAATCCCTCCTTCTATTTACAACATCTCTTCTCTAGTCTCTTTGGTTCTTGCTTCAAACAACTTTTGGGGTCAGTTTCCAAGAAACATAGGAGAGACACTTCCAAATCTCTTGGTTTTCAACACGTGCTTCAATAAGTTCACCGGAGAGATTCCAGCTTCTCTACATAACCTCACAAACATTAAGGTGATTCGCGCTGCGCATAACCTTCTAGAAGGGACAATACCACCAGGAATAGGCAATCTCCCATTCCTAGAAATGTACAACGTTGGATTCAACAAGATAGTTTGGGATGGAGATCAAAATCTTGATAATTTCATCAAGTCTTTGAGTAACAACTCCCAACTTAATTTCCTTGCTTTTGATGGAAATCTATTGGAGGGTGTTATTCCAATATCTATTGGCAATCTCTCAAAGCATCTTTCGAAACTTTTCATGGGAGGAAATCGCTTCACGGGTAATATTCCTGAATCTATTGGCTATCTCACAGGCTTGAACCTTCTTAACATGAGTGACAACTCACTCACTGGTGTTATTCCTCGAGAGATTGGTAATCTGAAAGGGTTGCAAGTGCTAGAACTAGCCGGAAATCAACTTGTTGGAAGAATCCCGGATTCTTTTGGCGATCTGGGTGCGTTAAATGAGATCAATCTATCGAAGAACAAACTAGAAGGTATGATCCCGCCATCATTTAGAAACTTCAAGAATGTGTTATCCATGGACATATCCAACAATATGCTAAATGGAAGCATACCAAATGGAGTTTTTAACCTACCTAGCTTGAGTTCCGTCTTAAATCTATCTAGAAACCTATTTGTTGGCCATATTCCTGAAGATATAAGTCGCCTGGAAAGCGTTGTAAGCCTAGATCTATCTGATAACAAGTTCTCTGGTAGCATTCCTTCATCTATCAAAGGTTGTCAGAGCTTGGAGAAGCTCAACATGGCAAGGAATCATCTTTCCGGACCAATACCGAAAACATTAGCAGAATTAAAAGGTCTAGAGCTTCTAGATGTCTCTTCAAACCAATTCTCCGGTGTCATTCCTCCGGAACTTCAAGATTTACATGCTTTGAAGTTCTTGAATCTTTTATTCAACAATCTTCAAGGAGGGATTCCAAGTGGTGGGATTTTCAAGGATATATCTAAAGCTTATATGGAGGGAAATCCAAGGCTATGCATCTACACTAGTTGTCGAAAACCTCGGACGCACGGAAAACTTTTGAAAGTAAGCATTATCACATGCGCGGTAGGTGTAATGGCGATATGCATGATAACTTTCTTGATTCTGAAAAGAAAAGCAAAAAAATCTATCAAATCTACATCATCATCAAGTTCACTCCGCAAGCAACCATTCATGAAAGTCTCATACGATGAGCTGAAGAGAGCCACTGAAGATTTTAACCCTCGTAATCTTCTCGGTGTTGGAAGCTTTGGATCGGTATTCAAAGGGGTAATACAAGGAGTTGATATCGCGGTAAAAGTCATCGATCTCAAAGCAAACGGATACTATAAAGGCTTTATCGCAGAGTGTGATGCGTTAAGGAATGTAAGGCACCGGAATCTTGTGAAACTAATAACTTCTTGCTTCA